GGAGACTGAGAAAGAACAGAAGGGGCTGATAAAGGAGCAATAACAGAAGCTTCATCTACACTACAGAGTTAGGTCAACATAAGGCAGCTTACATCGATCTAATTTTGTCAGTGTCTGCACTACAATGCTGCTTCTGCCACAGTAAGTGGCCTGCAGGGGTGAAAGTAACTTACCGGTACTCCGGAGTCCTTAGGAGGAGTGGGGCCTCAACCGGAAGAGGCATGGCCTCTACCTGAAGAGGCGGTGCCTTTACATCCCCGGGCCCTTTAAATCAAGATTTAAAGGGCCTGGAGCTGGGACTGTGGTAGCAGCAGCTGGGACCCCGGGGTCTTTAAATCACTCTAGAGCTACCAGCTGCAGAGACGGCTGGGAGCCCCAGGGCTCGGGGGTGATTTAAAGGGCCTGGGGCTCCAGCTGCAGTAGTGGCAGCCCCTAGCCCTTTAAATCACCGCCGGAGCCCCACTGCTGCTACTCCAGGGCTCAGGTGGCAATTTAAAGGGCTCCGGAGGGTAGTGGCAGTGGGAGCCCTGGGCCCTTTAAATCGCTACCCGAGCCCCGCTGCTGGAGCCCCGGGGTAGCAGTGGCAGCCGGGGGCTCCAGCAGCAATTTAAAGGGCCCGGGGCTCACAGCCTGTCAAGGTTCCTTCCCCACTCTGAACTCTAGGGTACAGATGTGGGGACCTGCATGAAAACCTCCTAAGCTTACTTTTACCAGCTTAGGTTAAAACTTCCCCAAGGTATAAACTATTTTACCCTTTGCCCTTGGACTTCCACTGCCACCACCAAACTTTATCTGGGTTCCTGAGAAAACGTTGTTTGGAAACTTCATTCCCCCAAAATCTTCCCCACCCTTGCACCTCACTTCCTGGGGAAGGTTTGATAAAAATCCTCACTAATTTGCATAGGTGAGCACAGACCCAAACCCTTGGATCTTAGAACAATGAAAAAGCATTCAGTTTTCTTACAAGACGACTTTTAATAGAAGTAAAAAAGAATCCCCTCTGTAAAATCAGGATGGTAAATACCTTACAGGGTAATTAGATTCAAAACATAGAGAATCCCTCTAGGCAAAACCTTAAGTTACAAAAAAGAACACAGACAGCAATATTCATTCTATTCAGCACAGCTATTTTCTCAGCCATTTAAAGAAATCATAATCTAACACATATCTAGCTAGATTACTTACTAAAAGTTCTAAGACCCCATTCCTGTTCTATCCCCGGCCAAAGCATCACACAGACAGCCAGAGACCCTTTGTTTTTCTCCCTCCTCCCAGCTTTTGAAAGCATTTTGGTCAGGTGCGAGCGAGGTTATCCTAGCTTCTTAACCCTTTACAGGTGAGAGGATTTTTCCTCTGGCCAGGAGGGATTTTAAAGGGGTACTGCAGCGAAGCCCCGGGCCCTTTAAATTGCCGCCGCAACCCCCGGGGCTCCAGCAGCAGGGCTTGGACGGTGATTTAAAGGGTCTAGGGCTCCGGTTGCCGCTACCGCCCTGGGTCCTTTAAATCATCCCCAGAACCTACCGGAGTCCTGGGGAAGCGGCAGCAGGGCTCTGGTGGCTATTTAAAGGGCCCGGGGCGGTAAAGACGGCTGGAGCCCAGGCCCTTTAAATTGCCACCTGAGCCCTGCCGCCGCTTCCTCAGGGCTCTGGAGGCAATTTAAAGGGCCCGGGGCTCCAGCCACCGCTGGGAGCCCCAGGCCCTTTAAATTGCCGACTGGGGAAGCCGATCCACTCTGGTACGGTGCACGGGCTCTTGTCGGTACGCCGTACTGGGGCGTACCGGCTTACTTTCACCTCTGGTAGCCTGCAGCGTCTGTGTAGACCCTCCATTACTTACATCAGCTGTTGGCTGTCAACCTTGAATGGGGCTGACAGCTGGAGCCCTAGCCCCTCTCCTACCCCACCACCCTTGCCCCAGTGCTGACAGCTGGAGCTGTCAGTGCCAGGGAGGGGGGGATCTGACAGCTGTGAGTCCACCACCCAACTGACAGCTGTGGGAGGGAGCAGCCGTGAACTCCACATCTACAGCTGAGGCTGTCAGCCCCAGGGCTGCCAGGCTCCAGCTGTCAATGTCCCACAATGCCCCACTTCAGTCAGTGGAAGCACTCCTGGTGAGGACGCGCACCACTGACTGAAGGAGCAAGTGTGGACATGAACCACCGCTTGAATTACCGCCCCCCTGCACGCTGGAGCCCCGAAACCCCTCCCTCCCAAAAAGGAAAAGCCCTGAGGGGACTCCCAACTGGAGGAGCCCCGGCCCGCCCACCCTAGCTACATCGGGCTGAGCCGCTGCTGCCGCCAGCCCCCCTGATCCACACACACCCCAGCACCAGACTGAGCCTCAGGCCCCCCAAGCGCAGGCTGGCCCCTGCGCTGGCCTGACCCACCAGCCCCGCCAAGCTCCGGGCCAGCCCCAGCACCTGACAGAGCCACCGGCGGCTGGCTCCCCTGAGCACCGCGTCAGCCCTAGCTCCGCCAGAGTTGAGCCATCCTCAGTGCCAGGCTGAGCTGGCAGCCTCCCCGAGCCACCAGACCCCTGCCCCTGATGCCCCCCAATCACAGTCGGGCTGGGCAGAGCCGCTGACAGCCTCCCTGAGTGCCTGCTCCTCCTGCCCCTGAAGACCTTGTCCCCCACCCCGCCGAGTCACCAGCCCCAGCAGCGCCTGACTGAGCCTCCTCAGTCCGCTGGCCACGGGCTCTCCGCGTCATTCCTCACTCCCCCATCCAGAGAGGAGGGACGCAGCAAGCAGCGGGGACCTTTGGGGGTGGAGTGGAGGAGGTGGTGTGGGTCTCGGAAAAGGGGGGGCACCATGGCCCAGTTGTCCGGCAGCGGGTCAGCAGCAGCACCAGGAAAGGCAAAGCCTTCCCTGGCCTATTATACCCGCCACCCATTGGTGGCTGTACGTCAACTTAAGTCAACTTAATTTTGTAGTGTAGACAAGCCCAGAGTCCAAAGTGGGTGAAACAGGCCAAGACCTCCCGGCTCCAGGAAGAGCTGAATAAGTTCACTGAAAGACTACAGAGGAAGTAAGAGTTTCCTGCAGCTACAGACAGAGAAGGAAGCTGTCAAGACTGATCCCCCCACTCTGGCACTTCAAATGCAGAAGTGGGGGCCCGCAAGGTTTCTAAAAATTAATACTGGCCACTCCAGGCTTGTATTAAACTCCCAAGGTTACAGCTTTTCTCTGACCTTGGATGGGTAGATGCTGCCACCACCCAAGTGCAAAAACCCCTTTTAGAACCCAGGAAGAAGCACTTGGGAACTCCTTCCTGTGGGGTACCCTCAAGCCCTTTCACCCTCCCCTCCTGGGAAGAGCTGAGAAAGAAAACAAAAGAATTAGCTGCTGTGACCAGCTAATTAAACAACATGTACAAACCTCTTAGGGACACAAAAATCCAATCCTGTTCCTAAAAAAAGGTAAATTGTAGTAAAAACAAAAAGAAAGAAAATACATCTGGAATTTTTAGATTTTAAAAAAACAATTACAGGGCCTAAGCATCAAGATAGCTTCTTGAGATCCGTCTTAAAGTTTACAAGCAAAACAAAAGCACCTGGGGTTAGCACAAGGAAACAAGGAACGACAGTTTGTGTGTGTGTGTGGGGGGGGGCAGAGGGTGAGAAAACCTGGATTTGTGCTGGAAATGGCCCAACTTGATTATCATACACATTGTAAGGAGAGTGATCACTTTAGATAAGCTATTACCAGCAGGACAGTGGGGTGGGAGGAGGTATTGTTTCATGGTCTCTGTGTATATAATGTCTTCTGCAGTTTCCACAGTATGCATCCGATGAAGTGAGCTGTAGCTCACGAAAGCTTATGCTCAAATAAATTGGTTAGTCTCTAAGGTGCCACAAGTACTCCTTTTCTTTTTACTGTTACAAAAGGATCTGAGTGAGCTCTGTGAGAAAACCCTTGGGGTTTATGAAGACCCAGCCTAAGAGAATTGAACGACTAGAAGGAGAGAAAGCAGCTGTCAAGTGTGGATTGAGCTCAGCATGTCAGGCACAAGACAGCCAAGAAGAGGCAGGACCTCAAACTCCTGAAACAGAATGCTACATTGTGGTCTACCATGTGTGGGTATTGTGTGGCAGAAATTATTTCATTTGTAGAGGAGCTCTTGCCGTGGGTGGGGAAGGGAGTCATCTCTGATACTTAAAAAATGTATAAACTGAAAATGTAATGGTGAAAGCAAAGCTCTGCTTTTTGGAATAGAAGGTGCATGAAAAGTGGTATTAAACCACGAGAAGGCCTGGAAAGTCCAGCTTACTTTTGACTCCGAGTGACGTTCTTGAAAAGACAAAGTTGCTGCACTTTGTATGGCAAAGTACACATTTGTGTTTCTCTCTCTGTATTTATGAATCTGCAATCTCTGCTTTAAGATAATTAATGCTACATCTATGTATATTACTAAACAGTTGTAGGCAGATGCCTCCAGGCTGGAAAGATTTGCAAAACCCTCTAATTTCTTATCAAAGATCATTACTAAAGTATTTAACAATTAAAAAGTCAAGCGGCGGGATGGCTGCCAACCCCTCAGATGACTAATTAATCTGCACTAATCAATAGGGGGTCTATGCTAATGTCGTTTTAACCTTGGCGATCTTCCCTTTTGCGGACGTCAAACGATAAAGAATAAACGCCCACCGCCCACCCAGTCAAACCCCACCGCCAGAGCAAAAAACAAAAGCAGCAGCAGGAAGGGGAAAAAAAGGCGAATTAAAACCAGCTTACACAGATGCGATTAAAGAAACAGTGGGACCCTCACTGAATAGCATTACTCTCATTAATGCCGCGGAGGCTGCGGCCCGCTCGAGCGCCGCCCCAGGCGCCCGGAGCTGTTTGTGTGAACCAGAGTCCCCGCCCCGTGCGTGTGCGTGTGCCACTCTCACACGCGCGCCCCGCCCCCTTCCCCCGCCAGCCCCGCCCACTCCCCCCGCCCACGCGCTGATTGGCCCGGCGGCGCCGCTCCCCCTGGCTCCGGCAGGCGGAGGCCGGCGCTGCCTGGCAGTTGTTTGCAGGCAGGGCGAGGCGGCGGGCGCGCGTGTGAGGGGCTTCGGCGCTCTGTCTCCAGCGGCAGCATGGGCAGCAGCAGCAGCTGACAGGCAGCAGCGCCGCGCAGCCGGACCCGCCGGGGAGAGCGGAGCGGAAAAGTTCCTGCCGCCGCTGCCGAGGGGGAACTTTGCGCGGGGCGCTGAGCCATGCCCGCCGTGAGCCTGTTGCCGCTGTTCGGCAGCCCCGCGGGGCCCGGCGCGCTGGGCGGCCCGCTGGGCGGCGGCCCGGGCGGCGGCAGGAAGGCGTCGGGCCCCAGCGCGTTCCGGCTGACGGAGAAGTTCGTGCTGCTGCTGGTGTTCAGCGCCTTCATCACCCTCTGCTTCGGGGCCATCTTCTTCCTGCCCGACTCCTCCAAGCTGCTCAGCGGCGTCTTCTTCCACTCGCCCGCCGCCCTGCAGCCGCCGCCGCCGCCCCCGCCGCCGCCCGGAGGGGAGCAGCGCGCCCCGCCGCCCGGAGCCGGCCCCGCCGCCGGGAGCAGCAGCGCCGGGGAGGCGGCCGCGGAGAACTTGGCCAAGATCCGCGAGGATCACGAGCGGGCTCTGCGCGAGGCCAAGGAGACGCTGCAGAAGCTGCCCGAGGAGATCCGCCGGGACATCCGCCAGGACAAGGAGAAACTTCTCCAGGACAGGCGCGGCAGGAAGGAGGCGGGGGCCGCCGGGCTGCCCAGCCTGCTCTTCCGCAAGCCCGTCGGGGCCGTGGGGCGGGAGCCGGCGGACCCTGATGTCCAGCAGAAACGGGCCAAGATTAAAGAGGTGAGTATCCCCGGCGGCTGGTGTGTGTCCGCCATCGGCCGGGCTCGCCCTGCGCGCCCGGCTCCGCGGGCTGCCTTCCGGCTCACTCGCTACCCCCTTGTTTACCCCGCTCGTTGCCCCTTCCCCTGCGCCTTCTCACTGGCGCGCTTCCCCCAGGTCGCTTATTTCCAACTTGCGGAAGTAAGTTGAGGGGGGTGACGCTGGCTCCGGCTCTGAGAGCAGGAACAGGCAGGCTGATCGGCCTCCGCAGGGCGACACGTTAGCGCCTGGGATCTGCTAGGCGTTTCACGGGGCTTTGTGCAGGTGTTTACACTGGTGGAGTTCAAAATGTAGCGTGGCCGCCCGGGTGTCAGCGAACGCGCGTTCACACTGGAGAGGGAGGGAGAACACCGCCTCCGCGCAGACAAACTACCGAGACTAGCAAAAAGAAAAGGAGTACTTGTGGCACCTTAGAGACTAGAAGCTCTTCACGACTCTCTTTCTTCCAAACACTCCTCTCCCCGGGGAAGCTCGAGGGCCGGGGCGCGTTAACTCCGAGTTGTAAAGTGTAGTGTTTGACGCTCAGAGAGCCGTACGGCGTGAGGATGGAGTGGCACAGCAAGGCCAGAAGGCTCCTGTGGCGTTTCGGAGCCGCATCTGTGACAGCATCGCCGCTACTCAGTGCTGTGCTAGGAGGTATAAGCGTACTTTACATCTCAGAGCAATTGTCTTTGTATCCCGTTTGTGAGTGTGTGTACATTCATAAGTAAGTGTAGGCTTCTGAGCAAAACTTGGGGAAAGTATGAAACCTAGCATTTATTCTGTGTTCAGCAACAAGTCTTCAAAAGCATTTTACTGACTTGGTTTAGCAATCAGTTTTCCATACAGTGTGAAGACCTCATTATGATGGTCATTGATCTAGTCCTTTGGGTGCACTGGCAATTCCTTATTGTGCAGGTAGATCGTTATGTCAGTTTCTCCTCTCTGTTGAAGTCCCACTTTATTTCTCTTCTGGTTAATTTCCTGTCTCTCTGCAGATATCTCCTCCTGCCCCTTGATCTTTTTCTTACCCTCATCCCTTATTCTTTTTGCCTCTCTCTATACTTAAGGAAGCTATTCAGGTATGGCTTTCTACCTTGTGAGGTTTTTTTTTCACAGTCTTCAGATATCTTTATTGAAAGGCCATGCACTGCCCTCTGTTACTATATTTCAAATCACTGTACGTTTACTTGGTGAAAACACTGCATTTTCTAGTACAAAAATAAGCAGCTTTCAGCCTGCTGCTACAAACTAACTGTAGCATATTTTGTCAGTTTTTGCTTCCAGGCTTTCAGGTGTTATTAACCTCCTCTGTGCTGGTCCTGCTCTTACTATTGTATATTTTGCTAAAGCATACATGTCTTGACTTAATAGATAGGAACTCAAATGACCCATATTTACTGATCATAACAAGACATGGCTGTAAAAAGGATTTAGAGAAAATTAAGTTTGTCAGGCCGAGGAGAGAGATGAATTAGGCTCTGCCTGCTGCCCTCATTGGACCCACAGGGCAAACGAACTAATGCACCCAGTTCTGTTTCACTTGCCATTTGTGCTTTGTATCTCATGAACATAGATGATAGACTGATTTACTTCTCTCACTGCACTAGTATTGGGGTACAGTGTGTCCTATATTAATTCTTGCATCAAATATAAAAGGACTGTGTTAGTGGTGGGAAATGTAACTGAAGACTGAACTGCTCTATCTCTTCTGCTGCATTTCACATACATTGCAATACTTCGATTTTCAAATGTTTGTGTTGGAACCTTAGCTAAACTGTATTAATGTGAAATTCTAATCTACAGAGTTAGAAAAAGCTGTTGTTTTATAGCATGTAATAGCGAAATGTGTGACCAATAATATACATTTTGCAAACTGCTTAAAATTTTTATTTATTCAGACTGATCCAGTTGTTCAGAAACCTTTAAAAGCTTGAACACCTCAGACTAAACCTCTTTGTAGGGGAACTCACACTTTTCTCCTCCCCTCTTGGGGGGGGGAAGGAGGAAATGAAAGTTTCCTTGATGGAAAATAATAACAAAATGTTTTTTCATTTAGTTTTTCACTGAAACTAATTAATTATTCTGGGACATTCCAAACAAAATGAAAAATATTCACTCTTGTAAAATTTGCCATTTTCAACCAGCTCTAGTTCAACACTGATGTTGATCCCTTTGTGGGTCAGTATGACTCCACAAGACAATTTGTTTTCAGCTTACACTTTTAAAAACCTACAAAATTACGTACGAAATGACATTAAAATTGCAAATCAAGCACTTGAAAGTTAGAAACTACAGAATGAAGGTTGCCCTTGCAACCTTAATCTGTGCTCCCAATGTACATTTCCATTATGATGATCTTTAATTATGTGATCACATAATATTTATTTCCTAGCTTCATTCAGTGCGTAGAATGGACAGTGCTCGCTGAACGGCAAGAGCTACTCTGTATTTCTTCTTCTCTTCATTCAATGTGTGCTCCCATACTTAATTTATTACACACCATATAAACCCTGCACTTAGTACAGTATTAATTTCCTCATGGGCATTTTTATGTGCTGTTCATAGCAGCATCTGGGGCTTCACAAATTGTCAGTTTATTTTTCCAGCACCCTCGTGAGGTGATCTTGTTTCTGTTTCATTGGTGGAGAACTGAGATGTAGGTTAAGGCCAAATCTTCAATTTTGGGTGCCCAGTGGGAGATGCCTGGAACATGATATTTTTTCAGAGTACTCAGCATTATATGGCACTTCATATATTCAAAGCACAACTCCCGTTGACTTCTGAGCGTACACAGCTGTAGCTGTACTCCTGCAAATCAGAACCCAGTTATCTCAAATTGGGCACCTGGAAAATGAGGAACACAGAGTGGCTACCTGAGACTGGACTATAAAAAGAAAGGGGAGAGAACCCCATAGTTGTCCATCACTTGGGGGATTCAAGGCACTGGAGCTTTTGAAATCACTGAATGTTGGGTTCTTCAGCCAATGGTGCTGAAGTCTTTGGGAACAGATTAGGTGAGAAACTTGCTTAGAAAAAGATGGGTAAATTGCTGAAAGTAAGTTGGTTGTGGTTTTTTTTTTTTTTTTGGTCTTGGAACTGTTTTTGCTTTTGTTGGCTTGTAATGCTTTTTATTTTAATGGCTTGGTATCACTTAATCCTATGTCATTTTGTTTAATAAACTTGTTTTAGTAAAAAAACAATTCAGTGCTGTGATGCAAATAGGAGTGTTCACCCCCAATTCAAGTAATTAGCAGCGGTTACTGTCTCTCTAAAGGAGCAGCACATTTCTGAGAGTGTTCCAGGAGAGCACTGGATGCTGCAGTGGGAAGTCAATGGGGTAATTTGGGGTTCACTATTTGTAACTTGCAAGGCAAGGTTAGGACTGGCAGGGTCCAGAAGAGTTTGCTGGTAAGAAGAACAAGCTGGTGTGTCAGACAGTTGTCACACAGCTAGTAATAGCAAAACTCTCACTGAGGCAGCAACACAGTAGCAGTTCTGGGAACCTCAGACAGGGGGTGTGGGGCTGGGGGTATGGTGCACAATCATATGTTTAAAGACTATCATAATGGATACGCACAAGGGGGCTAACATAAGATTGCACAGTACATATGAACATAAAAGTGTGAAAAATCACAGTGACGAGATGGGTGAGGGGGCAGTATCTTCTATTGGACCAACTTCTGTTGATGAGAGAAACAAGCTTTTGAGCTGACATAGAACTGTTCTTCCAGGCTGGGAAGTGTACTTGGAGTGTCGCAGCTAAATAGGAGGTGGAATGTATTATTTAGCATAAATAGTCCACCTTGAATGGTCCCTTGAAATGTGTTAAGTGTAATAGTGAAGCCTGCTTATTTTTAAACTCCACTCTGAAGTGAGGAAAATTGAGACCTGGATTGCTGCATTGCTTTATTAGGGTGGAGTTCTATTCAGATGTGCAAAACCTCTTGGAAGGTAGTGTTTTACATTCAGTGGCAGATGTGAGATGCTGCATTCCTAAGTATTCTCCCCCAACTCCTCTTCAGAGGAAGGAGAGGTGGAAAACGCCACCAGTTATTGAAGCCTTTATGCTCTCCAAGCCTGAGGGAGTGAAGAAAGGGCTGCTGTTGTAAGACAGTGAAATGGCTTTGTCTGCCAAACTGTTTCACTGCAAATAAAAGTAACGCTATACTTGTTCGAAGGCCACAACTTCCTTGGAATCTTCACACTGGTAAGCCCATGTGGATATAAACTGTTCAAACTGATGGCTTGTTGTTCTCCTTCTGTCTTGAGTAAGGTCATGAGAATATGTTGCTTAAGTCTTTCTTTTTTAATTACTTCACATTAATAGGTTGACTAGTCTGAGGGCATGTCTTCACTAGCAATGCTAAAGCGCTCCTGCGGCAGTACTTTAATGTGGCTGTGTAGTTGTGGCACCAGTGCTGGGGGAGAGCTTTTCCCAGTGCTGTGTAAAAACAAAACAAAAAATCCGCCCCCACGGGGCGAGTAGCTACCAGTGCTGGAAGCGCGGCTTGCAGCACTGGTGCACTGTCTACACTGCCACTTTACAGTACTGAAACTCGTAGCGCTCGGTGGCGTGTATGTGTGTTTTTCACACCCCTAAGTGAGAAAATTGCAGCACTGTAAAGTGGCAGTGTAGACAAGCCTGAGGCAACTTGTTTTCTCCTGGCCTTGCACATTGAAGAAAATGTAACTTCACGATGCAGGGATCAGATCTTTATTTTGTCTTGTGCAACAAATTGATACTTTACTAGTAAGTAAATAATGGGATCTATTCCCCTTTCTGCTTATGTTGTAAATACAAGGTTTAATTAGGATTACTGTAGGTATAAGGATTTCTTCTAATCTATGTCACAAACATCTCTATCCCCCATTTCTAGCACTTGATACTTTTCTGTTCCTCCATACAGTGGTGGTGCATTGATGAAACTTCTCCTTTGACACTTCTGTGTGCATGTGACTGTACATTTGTACAGTTGGTT